AATATTATGGAATATTTCCAGAGAATTTATTTAAGTGATATTTTTTTTCGTGTAGAAATTAATCAAATTATTAGCAGCTTATGTACTGTTTGAAGAAGGAATTATTTCATTTCAACATGTTTTTTAAAGACATTTCTAACTTTTGGAAATTTCCCATGAATTTATATAAATTAGTCCGAAAATATGTGTTTTATGACTGTAATGTTTGTTGAATTTTTGGTGATTTTCACCAAAAGTACGATAACTTGGAGTAATTTACCCCGCGTTGATGACAAGAAGCAAATGGACTAAAAATACAGCGAATACGTTTGGACCATCTAAGCAATGGAGTTAAAGAAAAATATCTGGTGAACATCTCAGCAGTTGGACTAAATGACTATTTCAATGAAATGTTGATGTTATTGGGGAAGAAATTGGGCAAAGTCTTAAGAGATTATGGACTATAGATGAAAAAAAGAATTGGTATGTTTTGTTATTGTCTCTTCAGATGTTTTTTTTAAGTACGACAGTCGCTGCCATTGACGTTTTTCGCTTCTAGGTTATGTTTTTGATGCCTGTTTTTTGAGAAAAGAATAACTTCTTCCTAAGTGTTTTATGCGATTTTAAACCAAGAATTGAACTTCTGTTTAAGTTTCCCTCGCACAGGTTATTGAAGCGTGTTGCAAATGGTTTTAATTCGCAGATATTGCTTTTGAGATGACTCATCGTCAAAGATTGTTAGCAGTGGAGTTCAATGTAATGAACATTGGTGCGCTACAAATGCAAAAGAAGTGTGTTAGAAAGAAGTAAAATCAATGGACTCTGGCTGCAAATGGAGTAATTGGGAAAAAATTGCACGTTGTGTCAGCAGATAATGGACAACAAACATGGTATGTTTTGTTATTGACATATGTATCAATATGCGATTTTTGCTGCTTCGTTATGTTTTCCATCTAAAATTTCGTCGCACTTTTTGCCTTACGATGCTTGTTTTTGATGACAATGCGGCTTCTGCGGAACTCTTCAAACCATGAGTTGACTTTGTTTTGTCAATTATTGAAGCGTTGTGTTGTAAATGGTTGTAATTTGCAGATATTGCTTTTGAGATGATTCATCTTCAAAGATTATACATTCTTTTAGTAACATTCTTTTTTGCCATTATTTGAAAACCGACGATGAGCAATTTGAATAATGGTAACGGTATTTTTTTGCGTGTTGTATATGTTACAACCCAATTTAAACACAAAAAATCTTCATTTTTTTTTACTTCATCAAAATGAAATATGTTTAATATATGTTTTTGTGTTTAAAAATCTGTTGGAAACACATTCTATTTTCAGATGCCGATACAAGTGAAATTGAAGGGAAACGATGATAATAATGCTGTTAATGGTAATTGTTCAAGGAAAACCAGCCCAGAATGATGTTCAGTGAATATTGCTTATGGTAATATAGATAGATATAGTTAAGATTATAGTTTGGCTCCACTATATGTATAATTGTCAATCTAAACAAAGTTGGAAGTTCCCCTTCCTTCCTACTTTATTTAGATGAAGTTTAAGTTAAATGCTTTGTCTGTCAAAATTGCCCCACACAATTTTGATAGATAAATGCAATAAAATAATATTGTAAATTGTCTTTTTGTCAATAGTTTAAAGTAATTATAATACTCCTGCAATGATCATAATGAACCGGAATAAGAATTGAAGTAATATGAATAATTTAAATGATTTACTGAATAATTTGTATAATTTGATGAATATCGTGACCTGTAATATAATCTGCAGTATTAAGTAAGTCAAGGGGGGCCGAAGACAGCGCAGGGAAAGCAGTAAGTCAGGGGGGACGGCGATGGCAGTACAGTGAAAGCGGCAAGCAAGGAAGGGATTTGAAGCATTAACGAACGTGGTAAGTCGAGGGGCGTGGTAATGAAATGGAAGTCATCTGAATAGATTGCGGCCATCTTGTTGTGTGTGAACATTTAATAATGGCTCGGTGGGTTTAATTTAAAGCTGAATTGCGTTGATGTTATGAAAAATTCTTAATATTACTTCTGTCGTGAAGTGTGAGGATGGATTAATAAGTGTGCAGCAGATAGAGTTATAAGCAGAAGTGAACTTTATGATTTAAAATGACTACGACGAGAGGACAAAAGGTAACGCCATGTTTCACATTATTTCTTTTTCAGTTGTTTGCTTTGTTTCCACCTGACAGAAAAGTCGGTGTAAAATGTTCCTTTATGTTTCAAAAAGATTTATTGCTCAAAGAGTTTAAATAGCTGAACAGTACATGATCACTTTTGAAATTGAAAGTTTCAATGAACATATTTCATAATGGCAATGACTTCACATTTAATTTATTCATTTCATTTGTTGATCTTTATGAGATATATATAATTTTTTCCATTTCTCTTAAAGGGGAACTCCACCCAAAAATAATGTTGGTCTTAAAACTTTGTCTGTCCCGTGAAAATAAATATGCGGCAATTTTTTTGTTTGTTTGATTCAATATTTTCACAAAAAATGAGTTGAAATGCTGCAGCTAGGGCATCCAGTGCGTGGGAGCAGAAATATGTCAGCGGCTTGTATTGACGTCATTTCGTCAATTGCTCCTCAAAGCTTTATGTAAAGTCATTGTCATAATAAACTTGCGTCAAAATGCTTCTCCTAATCACAAAATGTTTCTTTTCGAAACGTCAGAATTTTTTATTCGTAGGTATATACACAAGCAACTTTTATAGCTTACATGCAAGTATTGAGCTGGTTATTTGTATTCTGTTTTAATAAAACGTTTTCACATCCATAAAGGCCATTATCGCACAGTTTCCGCACTACATATAGAACTTGAATGTCGATTAATATTATTTTTTAAAAAATACGAAGGTTTCTTTGTGTGGAAACTGTGCGTAATGCCGTTTGCTTGTCCTCCGAATTCAACCTTAACAACAGTTTCCACTGATGTGAAACCAATCTATTGCCCTTAATAAACATTGAATAATAATAAACATGGTTGTGTAACTCATTACGGTTAGAAAATAATCCTACATAAAACCATTGTAAAAATTGCCAGTGCTATGAAAAACGAACACCCTCATATTGATCAATTGTCTAAACAAAAAACTAACAAAGAAGGCTAACATTAAGGAAATGATGACTTGACCCATTGGATTGAGTCCATTTCTAATCATCTTTGGTGGTGCTCTGCAAGTTGTAACAAGAATGCAGAAGAATTGGTGGAAAAATGGAAGTCTGTCCTTAACCACATTTCCAACAAGCATTTCTGGAAGGGGAACACATATTTTCATCAATGTTGCCACCAACAATTAACAGAAAAAGAAACAAAGCAGAAGAAGTGGTTATCTCCTACTTCACAAGCATATATCGCTGCAGAAGGTGACATGTGACAAGAGGCTTCTAAAGACCTGCGGAAGCTATCTGAGTTTTGTCACACAGGAGATTTGGAGGTTTACCATTCCCTTTTACTGAAATATTGCCCAAAGCGAGAGCATTTTTCATTTCCTGGGATGGTAGCCCGCACTCAGTTAGCAGCATTAGATCACAACAACAATATTAAACGTGATAAAGCAGTCATTAAGTCAGGGACAAACAAAGGGCAAGACCGTTACAAAATGATTTTTGCTAAAACACAGAAGCAATGGGTTGTAAAAGCAATGAAAGAAAAGAAAGAGTACCAGTACATTGATAAACTACTTGTGGAGGTTGTGAATGCATGCAAAACTGAGGAGATTGAACTTGTACATCATGGCGAGAATCTTCCAAAGAACATTTCTAAATCACATCCACCCAGGAAAGAAGTACTTGTAAAGGAACATCAGTCTAGATTTGCATAAAATGTCAGTGGTGATGTTAGCTATGGCAATAGGTTTTGCCATACGCATATAATATGACGTTGAATCAGTGAAGACAACTTTTGTACTACTTAAAAAATGTTCATTCTTAAATATTAACATAGCAAAACCTTTTGCTATAGCTAGTTTCACCACTGCATTACACAAACTATTCATGTAATTAATTATAGTTATATTATAACCAGTGTAATAGCCAAGCCACATTTATAATCATTTCTTTGTAAATCTTTTTTTTTTGTAATAAATTAATAATAATAAATGTGCATAGCATGACCTATAAATGAGCTGGCTATGCCAGTTTAATATTGACATACAAAGTAATTGTAATGGGTATACCTATATCATAATAAAATACTTCATTCATCAACATAGTGAAAGCCTTCAAATTGAAATTCTTCTGCAAGGCCAGGTGGAGGAAATGTTTCTCTAATGCTAGTAACTGCACATGATGGCAAGATGACTCTCACTTCTCTACCCAAGATACCCCAGCACCATCTTGCCAACTGTCTATATGCAATATGGCAATACAGTTTGTCTTCGGGCCCATCATATGCTACCTCATATTGCTGCTTGTACTGGTACCAAGCTGTTTGTAAAACCCACCTGTTAAGACAAACAGGCTCAAAACCAGGATGTTGTGTAATGCACAAAGGGACTTCGGTGGTCTCATTCGTTTCTACTGCCTCTAAATTTTTGTCACAAATATTGGAAATCTCTTTGCAGCATAAACATTCCTCGTTATTATCCATTATTTGGCAGTTACCACATTGACACCTGAATATGTTAAAAGAAAGGATCTTGAAAAGTAAATGTCAAAACTTCAATAAGAATTGTATCTTACAATAAAAACTTTAAAATCTAAAGTATTATGTGTGTGTGGACGTGGTCAACTTCAAAAACTGAATACGTACTTTTGAGATAGAAACAATGGTCTAGAATAATATAACATTTTACTACCCACCATTCAAGATTGTTGCGCCGAGATTCATGGTCAATATACAAAAATTCCTGTTCTTCGTTATCCTCAAACTGGTGAGCTTCTTCGTGTTCATCAGCCGGCCATTCGGGCTCAAACTGATATGGCCGAATATTGTTTGTTGGATTGTCTTCCATTTCACTATCGATTGGTGAATTAGGCCGAGTTCTTCCAAAAAGCCATTATAAGCGATTGTTCTGTTTTGTGCTAGGCTGTGCGTTATTATTTTACTTTGTTGTAAACTCAACTCCAAATCAGTTTGACGATATGACGTCAAAATAATTTCCTGACGCTTTCTGTGCCCACGCTGCTAAGCCTCAAAACAGCTCAAATAGCGCACTTGAAGACGCGATTTTGTCAAAAATAAAATAGCTGATGTAAAAATTTCAAAATATAGTAACCTTTGCATAAAAATGGAACTTTTAAGACCAACATTATTTTTGGGTGGAGTTCCCCTTTAAAATGTATCCAATGGGAATCTTTCTTACCAACAAAGGGTGTGGAAACCGTACCTACTTGTCAGATGTTTTTATAAGAAAGAAGCACAGAATATTGAAATGATACTTGTTGATTGAAATCAGGAGGGGAGGAAAACATTTTGAAAGCATGATAAGCGTACAACGGAATGGCGGGCAAAAGAATATGATCACCTTTGTGTGATCTATTGAAGTTTTTAACATTTTTTGTCGTTTTATCACACGACAGAGAATCAAATTGAAATCCCAAAGTAAAAGGAGATCTTTGTCAATGTTCGTTTGAGCGCAAATTACGTCGACGATAGATAGTAAGGGAAATTCGTTACATTTTATAAGTCGCCAAGTGTGAGGGCACATTGCTGATCGCGGAATAATGCTTTTTTTAAGTATGAAAAAGAATGACAAGAGCTATTTTTATGCTGAATTCGTCGTCCCGTCGACGATATGAGAACTCCGAACGGCTACGTCAAGAGAGAGGACACTCAAGGTTGTTGTTAAACAGAACAATTCTTTGTTTGTTTCATCCAGCTGACAGAAAAAAGCAGGTGTGTGGTGTTATTTTGTTATATTTATACAAAAGGTGATTGGTTTTTGTTGTAAAGAAGACAACAATGTTTTATCTCAATGTATGTTTTATCTCAGAAGTTTATGTTTATGATTCTCTGAGAAACTGCTTAAGAACGATTTAAAATAAACAAAAAAATTTTTTCCCATAAACATTGCTGTTTTACTTACATTAAGTCATTCATCTTCAGTATGAAAATTAAGAATAAAATGTGTTAATTTTTAGTATACTTTTTTTTAACTAATATGTATCATGTACAATGTATCCTCCTATATTATAAATTTGACATTGTAAACAATTTACTTCATTCACATACTAAAAGATGATGACTTAAACAAGTCGAAACATGTTTATGGTAAAATTGGTGGGTTGTTGTTTCAGAATGAACAATCCAAAAAAGCAACAACAATACAAAACTTCATTTTCATTTTTTTAAAGTTTCTTTTAATTACTATCTATTGCTTTATCTTTTCATGGTTAACATAATAATATTGATTGTTGTTTATATATCAATTAGATGAGGATGAGGAATGTCAAGCCATTAAAAATTTATAATCAATCATTTTTAAATCACAAGAATTTCAGATGTAATTTGAATCACAGCCATCCTAAAGTTCAACAAATTACAAAACAAGAACAGACAGAGTTTTGACATTAAAGTTTAATGGGGAAGATGGTGGTACAGTTACATCAGGTCAGCGGTGTGGCACTATGTATATTATCGTTTGGGTATGTATTTAACTATAAATTTACTCATCTACATCTACTCACCTTAAATTTTAAAGCACTCAACCTTACTCTTACACCACTCACCCTTACTTTTATAAGGCACACCCTAACTTTTAGATGACTCACCCTTACTTTTAGATGACTCACCCTTACTTTTAGAAGACAC